ATGCTGCAGAGCACACACAAGGAACGATTCTTCTTAAGTTTTTAAAACATTTAAAAAGATGCTCTTCATGGAAATAAATTCACACAAAAAGTAGGAAAACAATGAAACAGGCATCAAGATGCCGCGGGAACATGGAAAGTTTGATAAAAAGAAGTTGTCAACAGGGTGTTAAGTGAAAAGAGATTTCTTTCACCATAATGGCACACACTTAACCTATGCGTGAACTTGAACCCAGGGGCTGGAGCGTGTGTTTTGCACGCAGGAGAGCCCTAGGTTCTCTCCCCAATATTACACTGTCCTCCGAGCGTGCTGGGGATGAGCCCCCAGCGCTAGGCAGGGGGCCCCTAAGCACTGCTGGGTGAGGTTCTCCGAGAAGGTACAAAATTCAAAATGTTCGAACAAGTCACTAGATGGAAACGGCCCCACGGGGAGCTGGGGATTGTAGTGAGGATCTCCCGGGAGCACAGTAGCACTGTGATGGCTTCCGAGGGGGTCAGTGGACAGATGCCCGAGGCAGGGAGTGAGTGCCTTGCTCCTGGCTCCCTCCTGTAGGATTCGTCAGTGACACCTTCCTCTAGAGCCTCCGTGAGTTTACCTGTCTCCCACCCATTCTGGAAGCAGAACAGACTTTGTTATCAAATAGTCTGTTCTGTTATCAAATATCGTCCCCCTCCCGAGATACAGGACTAGGGATAAGAGGTTGTTGGAAGCGCTCAACAACTGTGAAGACAGATAATAAGGAATAAAAGCATCAGGACTCTGATCCGACCGGGGCTCAAGGGAAACTGTGAAAAGTCCATTTCATGTTGTTCCACCTTCCTGCCCAATAGAGGCGCTCTACATGCCAATAGGTGGGGGAAAAGACAGAGATACATAAACAAGTTAAGAAATATACTGTGTGGGGCTGGAGCGATAGCACAGCGGGGAGGGCCTTTGCCCTGCACGCGGCCGACCCAGGTTCGATTCCCAGCATCCCATATGGTCCTCCGAGTACTGCCAGGAGTAATTCCTGAGTCTAGAGCCAGGAGTAACCCTGTGCAACACTGGGTGTGACCCAAAAAGGAAAAAAAAAACACTGTAGCACCTGTAGCTTTATGTGTTTTAGTAACTGTTTATCCTTTTAAATAACGATTGGCTTTAAAGCTTTGATAACAAAGTCGTAAGAATTTTTCTATGATATCTTTTTTTCCTTAATATGGGGGTTGGGCAGGGTGGGGGGGGGTCACAGTCAGTGATACTCAGGGATTACTTCTGGCTCTGCACTCAGGAATTACAACCAGCAGTGCTTGGGGGACCACATGGATGCCGGGGATCAAACCTGGGTCAGCCATGTCTACGGCAAATTCTCTCCCTGCTGTACTATCGCTCCAGCCCCTTTTTCTTTAATGCCTTAAGAGACTCCTGGCAGACAATGAGCTAGTTAAATATACATGATCTTAACCCTCTTTAAATTATGCTATCTGCTAAGTTTTTTAATGGCCATGATCTCATTACCTCTTATGAAATACTTTATAATTATTATTTTAAAGAAGCAATGTGAATATAACCTATAACTACTAACTCAACAGAGGCTTGAGCATTTCTACTTGAATACATTAAAAACACATTCTAAGGGAGTCATGGCAATAGTACAGCAGGGAGGGCATCTGCTTTGCAATTGGCCAGCCTGGGTTTGGTCCTTGGCAGCTCGCATGGTCCCCTGAGCACCACCAGGAGTAAACCCTGAATGTAGGGGAAGGAGTAAGCCTCAAGCACTGTCATTTATTTATTTATCAATAAACAAAAATTTCTAAAACATAAAGTAGGGCTGGAGCGATAGTCCAGTGGGTAGGGCACTTGTCCTGCACACGGCCAACTGAGGTTCAATCCCCAACACCCCCAGATGACCCCCCGAGCCTACCAGGAGTGATTCCTGAGTGCAGAGCCAGGAGTAACCCCTGAGCACTGCCGGGTGTGGCCCCAAAACAAAACAAAAGACAAACTAAATAGGTAAAAATAAAATAAAATAAAAATATGCTGTAGGTAGTAAGGGAACTGGCAATCACTGGAACTGCTTGGCAAAGGCCCTGAGTATTCAACTGCTCCGGCCCCTAAAGCCAGTCACCATCTCCTGAGACTGTCACAGAACTGAGCTTTCCTTGGGGGTGAGTGGGCAGCTTGGGGGGGGGGGGTCCCGGGACAGGTCAGGAGCAGGCAGTGGTGATGGGTGTTCAATGATGGATGCACTTAAAGTATTCCCAGTTTTATAACTCCTGGTACTTCCATAAAAAGGAGTTTAAAAATCATGGTTCAGGACTCAGTTCTCAGTAACAACTTTCAGAGGCATATTATCACGAGAGGCACCAGGAATCATCTGTTAGTTGGTTTAAATGTGTTAAAGGACTAATACCACAACCGAAAAGAGCCTTAGATGGGACCCAAGAGGTAGTACAATGGCTAAGGCGCTTGCCTTGCACGCAGCCAACCTAGGTCTGAACCCTGAGCACGGCCCAGAGTGATCCTGGTCACAGAGTCAGCAGTGAGCCCTGAGCACAGCCACGTATGACACAGACCTCCCCACCAAAAATTTCTTATCTAAGTCTAAACCGCCGAGAACAGTCCAGCCAGGGCACACACAGCATTTACACTTTAGTTCGTAAGAGGAGCTTGATACTGCTCCCCCTCCTCCGCCCCAGAAAAGAGCCAATAAAATCCTGATCGACTGGAACTGGGGGAGATGGGCAGGAAATACCGAACGCTGGTAATGAAAATACGAAGATCGAGGAGCTCGGATACAAAAGTCAGGGAGTCAAGAAGGGAAGCCGCTCTCAAACATCTCAACATCAATCCCAGACGGAGTTTAGAAGGCCAAGAGTATGTGCGCTGTGTGCCGGTGTCCTGGGTTTGAGTCTCCGCATCACAGGGTCCCCTGAACACTGCTAGGCTGTCAGCTGCGGCCCCCAAACAACGCACGCAATCAAGTACGCATGCGTGCTCCTGCCCCCACCGTGACACCCCTCTTCAAGCCCCAAGACTAGGGGGTGAAACTCGAAAAGAACCTGTGAAGCGGAGAGCAAAGAAAGAATCCACGGAAGCGGGAGGCTGGCCGAGCACAGAGCCCGGGGGCAGGACGGGTTCCGGGAGAGAATCTATTTCTCACCCGGCAAGACTCGTGTTCTGGCGACACGGGCCACACCTGAGGAGTTTCTGTGCCCATCTCCTCCTCCACCCGGACTTTCCGGGGATACGTAAAAGCACCTGGTGTGGAAGGAAGCGTTAATGCAGCACAGAGCACCAAGTCTGAAAGTCTAAGCAGTTGGCCTGTGAGCGCCGGACGGGAGACCTGTCCAGGCCCTGCGCCCAAGCAAGGGGCAGATGAGACACCGCACAGCTGACCGCTTCCCTGAGGCCAAGAAGCATTCGCCGGGCCAAGGGGGTTCCTAGATTTTATTGACCATCAGTCGAATCAGCCCCTCCACGCGTCGCCGCAGCGGACTAGATGGAGGATGCAGCTAAGTTCTGTGGCTTTTTCACCGTGGGCCACACTCGTTTCGAATGGTTTATGTGTCAAATTTTAATTTTCTCCTCACGACAAGCCTAGAAAGGAACTATTCCGTGCCCCTCCTGCTGTCTACGGAAATGGGGGAGGTTCCGTGACCCTTAGCTGGGATCCGAGTTAAGTCTGTGGCGCCACTTTAACCACCCGAGAGGTTGCCGTGTAGACAGCGAGGGGACAGTTTTCCTTAAACGTAGAACACGTGCTCAGAAATGCCGCGCTGATATAGAAGGCGGCCGCAGATTCAAAGTCAAGTCCTTTATGGCTTGAAGTATACATGCACACAGAGAAGCATTTATCACACGGCAACCACACACATGCTGAGAGATCACTGAGAAGACGTATGCACGCTATTTAAAGAATCTTCGAGTCTCTCTACCATTTCTTAACCTGATAAATGAAGTTTCCCTCAGAAGGTGCCTAAGGGCCGAAGCGATAGTACGGCGGGTAGGGCGCTTGCCTTGCATGCAGTCGACCCGGGTTCGATTCCCAGCATCCCATACGGTCCCCTGAGCACTGCCAGGACTAATTCCTGAGTGCAGAGCCAGGAGTAACCCCTGTGCACTGCCAGGTATGACTCAAAAAGAAAACAAAAAAAAAAAGGAAAAGAAAAAAAAAGAAGGTGTCTAAAAAGCAAAAAAATGGCGGAGTAGGATGATCTTGTTCCTTTCTAGGCTGGACTGTGCTTCCAGTCTATAGGCACTTAAAACTCTTTTCCAATTAAACCCAGAGTGAATAAATTCTAAGAATTTAATACAAATGAAAAAGCATATTGCAGAGAAAGAACTTCCTGCTTTTGCACCCAAAACCCATGAATAAAAAGTGGTTAGCTGGTTTTTACTCAGTGACTCACCGTCAGCCCATCAACCCTGCCCCCACCTCCGAGAGGAGTCAGAAACTGCAGCTCGTTTCTGCCATCAGGACTTCATGTCCAGCACCTCAGTTTTTCCATCTATGAAACGGGAACCAGAGAAGCTCTGCCCAAGGTTTGGCGATAGCCATGATGGTGCGTCTAGGTGGGGGGTTATTGAGCGTGCTCTGCCGCTGGACGCTGTTTAATGAAGAGGTTGGGGCAGAAGCCTGGAGGCTGCTATTAGGGAATTCTGCAGACTGCAGCCACCTCCCCTTCAGTCTCTGGGCTCACGGCCACCCTGGAGGGAACAGGTGTCATGGCACACATGGCACAGAGCTAAGTGGATGCGTGGCAGTCTCCTGCCACAGAGCTTGTAGGGGGCGAAGATACAGAACACGATTTCGCATAACTCGGAGTCCAGTGCTCTCTGCTGGATTGACTTGGGCTCCCTTCTCCGGGATGCCGCACCCCTGCCCCTGCCCCCCAATTCTCTGCTGGCCCAAGAGTCTAGCCCGGCGACGAGGAGGAACGGGATGAGGCAACGCGCTAGAGAGAAAATACTTTTCCTCTTTCTCCTGGGACCCGCGTGTTGATGGAAGTGAGCCAGTTTACCTTGATCTCCGGGAGCTGCATCACTTCCGGGAAGACCTCGATGCAGTTGGAGTGAGCGATGACCGTGTGCATGCGCCTGCAGTTCATGATGGTGGTCGGGATGGCCTTCAGCTTGTTCCCGCTGACGTCGATCTCTTCCAGTTCCTCCAATTTGGCCATTTTACTAAAACAAACAAATAAATAAATAATCGGGGTGGGGGGGAATGATCCTAAAATAATTATAAAGTAATGTTAAAGAAAATAATACACCATGAAACTCAAAAGGGAAATGTACTGTGGTTCTCTTGTAATAGTCATTTTTAACATGACGCTTCTCACTTTTTGTTTTCTTCAAGTATCCGAATATTTCGGGGTTGGAGCGATAGCACAGCGGGTAGGGCATTTGCCTTGCATGCAGCCGAGCCAGGTTCGATTCCCAGCATCCCATATGGTCTCCCAAGCACCGCCAAGAATAATTCCTGAGTGCATGAGCCAGGAGTAACCCATGTGCATCACCGGGTGTGACCCAAAAAGTCACGGTCCTCCCGTTGTTCATCAATTTGCTCGAGCGGGCCCAGTAACGTCTCCATTTTTTGGAGACTTGTTACTGTGTTTGCCATATTGAATACGTCACGGGTAGCTTGCCAGGCTTTGCCATGCAGGTGAGATACTCTTGGTAGCTTACCGGGCTCTCCGAGAGGGGCGGAGGAATCGAACTCGGGTCGGCCATGTTGGCTGCGTGCAAGGCAAACGCCCTACCCGCTGTGCTACTGCTCCAGCCTGACCCCCCCCCCCCCAAAAAGTATCTGAGTATTTAAATATCTTTCCTGGGGCCAGAGCCATAGTACAGTGAAGAGGGTGCTTGTCTTGCACACGGCCAACCCGGGTTCAATCCTCAGCATCCATAGGGTCCCCCGAGCACTGTCAGGTGTAATTACTGAGTGCAGAGCCAGGAAGAAACCCCAAGCATCACTGGGTGTGACCCAAAAAGCAAAAATAAAATAAATAAAATAAAAGGTAAACAAATATCTTCCCTATGACAAAATATATACAATTAACTCCTACTCTTCACCCTGATAAGAAACAACCCAGGGAAATGGAGCCAGAGAGCCAGGACGGCAGGGAGGGTTCCTGCCCTGTCTGCAAACAGCCGGGGTTGGATCCCCGAAGTCCCATACGGTCCCTTGAGCCCTCCAGGAGTGATTCCTGAGAGCAGAGCAACCAGGGGAACTCCCAGGTGTGGCCCCCAAACCACACAAAGACAGGAAATAAATGGACAAGACAAAAATACCGGAAAGCGTGGGTGTCTTTTTCCTCCCTTGGCTGCCCATGGGTGATCCGCCCCCAAGCGGTCACTGTGCTGTGGACCTTCTTCCTTGGGCTTTCGATCAGACCCCAGTGAGGAGGACAAACGCTAATGACACAGCACTGGCGTAAATCCTACACAGATTTAGCTCGAGGCCATACAGTACTCCCCCACATAAAAAAATTTAAACACAATTAAAAATAGAACCTTTCTCGCTCCCTAAGTTCTAAGGAGCTGCTGCGTCTATCTAGGGCTGCGAGGGCCGGGTTTGATGCGAGGCCCCACACGGGCCCACTTTTGTAGCTTGGGAGCTGATTGACTCCAGATGATAGTACCTCCTGGACATCTGCTCTCCCGACTTAAGCCTCAGTTGCCCTTACTTCCTAGATCCCCAAAAGCAGGGTCCCCACGAGGGTAAAACAGCACTGAAGGTGTGTTTCTCCTCTCCTTATAGGTTTGCCCTTCCCCCTCCACCGCCTCCAGGAGGGAGCCCCAAATACCAAGCGGGACGTAGCCCTTAAGCACCCTTGAGTGTAGTCCTCCCAAAGAAAAACCAAATGAAACACACCGGCCAAATAACATAGTTTATCGGGGGCTGGAGCAACAGTATAGCCGGTAGGGTATTTGCCTTGCACGTGGCTGACCCAGGGTTTGATTCCCAGTATCCCATATCCCCGAGCATCGCCAGGAGTTATTCCTGAGTGCAAAGCCAGGAGTAACCTCTGAGCATCGCTGGGTGTGACCCATAAAAAGCAAAAGAAAAAAAAAAGAAGATAGCTTATTGATTTTTAATGATACCTCAAGTTTTTTTTTAGAGTAACAGACTGTCACCGTCCTCCCGTTGTTCATCGATTTGCTTGAGAGGGCCCAGTAACGTCTCCATTTTGAGACTTGTTGTTACTGTGTTTGGCATATTGAATACGTCATGGGTAGCTTGCCAGGCTTTGCCGTGCGGACGGGATATTCTCGGTAGCTTGCCGGGCTCTCTGAGAGGGGCGGAGGAATCAAACCCGGAATCAAACCCGGCTCGGCAGGGCTGGCTGCGTGCAAGGCAAACGCCCTACCGCTGTGCTATCACTCCGATTTTTAAGATCTTAGAAAATCCTAGTTGAGTGTGTCCCTGAGTTCAGGGGAACGAATACATCCTGCCTTAGGGGAAGGGTGATTCTGGCTGAGTTCAGTGATAACTGAGGACAGGTTGCTGTCAGCTGAGGCCGTTTCTCGAGAGACAGAGCACCCGCCCACGCTCAGCCTCCCTTACCTGGCCGGGAAGCTGTGGAGGCGGTTGAAGGCCATGTGCAGGATCTTCAGGTGGGGGTGTCCCGTGAGCAAGGGCACACACTTGTCCGTCAGGTGGTTGTTGGTCAGATATAACTCCTGCAGGATGCTGCTCGTCTCCTCCGAGAGCGTGGCCGGAGGAAGGGTTTCCAGTTTGTTGGCAGAGGCATTCAGGAATCTCAGGCTACAACAACAAAATCCAACAAAATCCTGCTGGTAAGCCAGAACTTGAGTGCTGAAACCTCCACAAAGTCCTGACACCCCCACCAAGTCCTGAAATCTGGCATTGGCCAAATGGCCAAATTCAAGCCTAACTCTGCTATCCACGAGGAGCACTCGAACCTAATTTGTGGATGATGCGTTCATTACAAAGAGATAGATCTCAAATTGTATGGAACCATAAAGCCAATTTTAAAAGCTTTTTTTTTTTTTGCCTTTTGGGTCACACCTTGCAATGCACAGAGGTTACTCCTGGTTTATGCAACTCAGGAATTACTCCTGGCGGTGCTCAGGGGACCATATCGATGCTGGGAATCAAACCCGGGTTGGCTGAGTGCAAGGCAAACGCCCTACCTGCTGTGCTATCGCTCCAGCCCCCTAAAAGCTCTTATTTTTTGATGAAGCAAGTGGGCATGAGATCACAACATTCCTAAATCACTCAGTGACAAAATCTTTTTTGGTGTAATATCCAAATGCCTGGCATACGTTAGAGCGGCAGGAGCTAATGTGGTCTACACTGTAATGAAGAAGCACTATACAGCAGTGAAAATGAAGAACCACATCCACATTCATTAATTAACAGCGTGAATTTAACAAGTATTGGGCGACAGAAGCCCGATACAGGGCCATGAGGAACGGGACTGAACTCCACGTGCACAAAATTTAGAAAGAGCAGATCTACGCGACATAGAAGCGGGCATGTGACAGTGCTAGACTCTGAGAAAATTCACAAGTGCTACACGTAAAACTTGGCCCCTTAAAAAAAAAAAGATAAAAAGACCAATTAAAGTCTTTAAATAATTGCAGAATAAAAAATCTTGGCCCCTTTTCTGTATTTATATTAAACTTTGAAAATTCTTACATTAAAATGAAAATAAGATATGTATGTTACTAGCCATTCAAACAACCGCAGGGTCAATGAATAAAATGTATTATGTTTTTACCCCTGGGAGTCTGTGCCAGGCTATTTTCACTTGGGGTGCCCCAGAGGGGTGCAGGTGAGAGCCCCTCCCCGCCCCAAGGGACCCAGTCCCGGCAGCCAACCTCTACTACCCAACCGCCGCCACACTCCCTACTCATTTTCCATAATTACCACACCATATTTGATAAATATATATATATATATATAGAGAGAGAGAGAGAGAGAGAGAGGCCCTCCCGTTGATCATCGATTTGCTCGAGCGGGCCCAGTAACGTCTCCATTGGAGACTTTGTTGTTAGAGAAAGAGAGAGAGAGAGTTCGGAAGAGCCTCATGCATGAAGGTACCAGCAGAGGAACCCAGGGCGTAGATCTTCAAGCCTGTTCGGATTGGGACTGGGGCCTCCTCCACCCAGATCCCCCATCTTCCAGTATGTAGCATTACACCCACCAACGGCCCCCGGCGCCGTCTAATCCCATCAACGGCCAAGACCCAGAAACTATAAAACCCTGTTCCCGGAAGCACGCAGCCTCACACGCGGCCACGTGAAATCTTATCATCTAGTTCTTACTCTGGAGAACCTGGCAGGTTACCAGAAGTATCCTGCCCACACAGCAGAGTCTGGCAAACTCCCCGTGGCGTATTCAATATGCCAAAAACCAGTAACAATGATGGGTCTCATTCTCCTGACCCTGAAAGAAACTCGAATGTGGCACTTTTTAAAATCTCAGGGCTAGGACAAAGGAGACGTTACTGGGGTCTGCTCGAGGCAATCGATGAACAACAGGATGACAGTGATACAGTGAGATATATATATATGTATATATATATGTATATATATATGTATATATATATATATATATATATATATATAAATGCCTCTCAATATGCCTCTCAGAGACCGTAAGTATCCCACCCGCATGGCAGAGGAGCCTGGCAAACTGGCCGTGGTGTATTCGATGTGCCCAAACAGTAAGAATGGCGGGTCTCACTCCCCTGATCCTGAAAGAGCCTCCAATATGTTGGGAAAGATGAGTAAGGAGAGGCTGCTAAAATCTCAGGCTGGGAGGAATAGAGGCGTTACTGGTGCCCGCTCCAGTAAAATCGAAGACCAACAGGATGACAGTGATAACAGTGACACAGTGATGTTTTTATGCTTCAGGCAAGTGAGACTGTCAAAATCCCTGTAATCCTCCCACACTTTTGGTGTAACAGTGAATAAATACATAAATACAAAAGGCTGGAAAACTGAAAGGGACTCCTGCTGAGATCTGCAATCAGGTTCCAATTCACAGGGGAGGGGAGAGAGAGGAGGGGAGGGGAGGGAGACAGTGTGCGAATCAGAGGGGTGAACCAACAGCATCTCCACAGACTGCGTGTTACACCAGGGCATCACAGCAACCGAAACACCCAACGACCCAAGGCCAAATTAGCAACGTCAGAGCCGCCTCTTCTCCACACCTGGAAACGCCCTGTTGATCAACTGCCATTCTCGGCTTTCCGAATCCCCCAAGTCGGAAACTTACTTTCTGCATTCAGTCCAGAGTTATTATGCCACACGCAAGGAACAACAAATAATAAAGTGTTTCTTATAAAGAACGGATATAGAATGCCAGGTACAAGTCAGTTTTAATCTGGAACCAAAAGATGATGGTATTCAGGAATTATCACTAGGATTGTCATTTCATGCTCTCAATCCACTAATTTAGTAAGTACTCCTCAACCCTGCCCCCACCCGGCCCCCCATACTTATTTATACACCTCCCACCCCCCCACTACTATCTGAGGAAAAGTGCTTCCCTAAAATAGAACATTTTCCATTAAAGAAACACGTATTCCGTTGACATTTAAAAAAAAAAAAGGGAAGTTAGAAAAGAGCCGTACAGACCATAAATAGTCATGGGAAATTACAGTCGCGTGTGCTGAGAGGAAAATAAAGGGCATTACACACAGCTCCTGAAATGGTTTGGAACCAGGAAGGAAATCAGTTTGGGCACCATCGTCCTTTATTTTATGAGTCTGTTTCCTCGTGTCACCCGATTTAAGTACTCTGTGAGGCATTTCTTCCGCAGATAATTGGAGAAACTTGAAATGCATGTCCCTACAACATCATGAACTGGGGTTGGCTGGAAGACTGACAAGCTCATTAAAATCCAATTCTCAAGGAAACGCGACGACAGTCGAAAGCGGGGAGAGGAATGAACTCAGGAGCGTGCACAGGCTTGGGGGGCACGAGGGAGACAGACGGCTGCTTTGAAAGGAAAACGGACTGGCAAGGGCTGGCTCCTTGGAGAGCCACGGCTAGGGCTTGCCCACCCCCCACTGATGAAGGAAGATAAGGGGAGGCTCCCTGGGCTGAGGACACTCTTTGGGAGGAATAAGGGGACAAAGACGTCCTAGGGCCGCCCTTCTGGTAACTGAAGCTGCAGGGAGACAGCACAGGTGGGCCCAGAGGGATCCCCCGAACTCCTGAGAACGAACCGAGAACCCCGGTATCCTGGTCAGCAGCCAAAAAAAAAAGGTAAACCGCTGAAATCAAGAATTCTGAGAATGGTCCTGGGAAACGTAAATTCAATACTCCTCCCCTTACAAAGAAAACTCGGGGCTAGAGCGACAACACAGCAGGGAGGGCATTTGCCTTGCATGCGTCCGACCCAGGTTCGATTCCCAGCACCCCATATGTGTGTCCCCCCCACCCCCAGCACTGCCAGGAGTGACTTCTGAGTTGCAGAGCCAGGAATAACCCCTGTGCATTGCGGGTGTGACCCAAAAAGCAAAAAAAAAAAGAAAAAAAAAAAAAAGGGAAACTCTTGGCCCTCGGCTTCACAATGTTTCAGGAGACAAAAGAAACTGATCGTTGTGGTGTGAGTGGTACCCTTCCACTGGTACCAGTGGCTACTTGAACACTGCAAACATTCTCGAGGACGGAAAACAGTGGGACGGAGTCACAGGGTGGGCGTCTGAGTCTATTCCTTTCAAAACCTCGCCCAAAGCTAAAATCCTGAGACCCGTTTAGTCTCCGTCTCCCTCGAAGGGTCTGGAAAGATAGCAGATCCTGCTCGGAGAGCAAAGACGCTTCATCCGCGATGAGGCCTCCACTTAGCAGGTGGTGGCCACACGCTCTTTCCTGATTTCTCTTGCACCGGGTGCAAGGTCAGCCAGCCCTGGTCCACCTCTGGCATCAGATCGGGTACCACCAGGAATGATGCCTGAGCACAGAGCCAGAAGCAGCCCAAAGCAATGCCAGGCACCAGGCCTGGTGGTACACCCATGACAGATGCATCATAAACACAAAGAACTGAATTCAAAGCCTTACGAAACCAGACTTACCCGTACCTGCTTCCACTGAGACTTCCTATCACTTCTAATTTTCAAAAGCCACTAGAATCACTATCATACATCCTTCATTTGTTTTGAACGACGATCACGACCATCCTGTTCTTCATCAATTGCCTTGAGCAGGCCCCAGTAATGTCTCCTTCGTCCTAGCCCTGAGATTTTTTTAAAAAGTGCCATATTCAAGGCTCTTTCAGGGTTAGGAGAATGAGACCCATCAATGTTACTGGTATTTGGCACATTGGGTACGCCACGGGGAGTTTGCCAGACTCTGCCGTGTGGGCAGGTTACATTCAGTAGCCTGCCAGTTTGTTAAAAAAAAAAAAGAGTTCTGAAAAAAAAAAAAATCACAGTTACTGCCTAGTAAAATCACCTACCAGTGGGGACTCCAAGGGAAGCTCAAGTCCAGACACTCTAATACTCTTTCCCAGAGTGGGTGACGCCATCCCCGGGAACGCTGGAAGCAGCGATATTCTCGGGTGCATCGGGGGCATTTTCTGTGTATTCCCTTAAAGAAGGTCTATTTTCAAAATGCTACTCATCCCAAGAAGGGGGTGTTGAACTTAAGAACCTCTGGTCTGAACAAACCTCTAAACGATTATTTTGGAAGAACTGGAAACCTTCCTGGCTTATTTAAAAAGTTCATCCACATTTACAGAGTAAACAGAGAAAAGAACTGGTGAACAAGAATCAAAAAAGAACTCACATT